CACACACACACACACACACACACACACACACACGTGCGCACACTTACATATAATAATATAAAAGCTTATCCGTCAATGTGTGACGATGACCAATACATCCACAGAGGAGAATATTTCTCCAGCGAAATAGAAGAATTTGAAGAACTAAAGGTTACGATGACTCGTGGCTTCTACTGTGGCCGATGAGATCAATTCTGGCAGAGAAAAGTTTGCCACATTTTGAACATACAAAATGTATTAGATTAATAGCTTTGCTACTACTTTTGGATGTGCACAGCTTGCGGGCTTCTCTCCTAGTTTCCGCATTCTTGTTCGTGAAGCCTCGTATTAATAATGCCGCCCTTACACATTCACAGACATAGTACGACTAAAAAAACTCTGTGCCATAGCTGCCTTAATATTATAGCTGTAGATACATCGTTTTAACACAAGGTGGGCGTCGTTTTGTTCTTTAACATATATATTTTTTAAAAAGTCGTATCTTGAGTTACGATTGTTTGGAATCGTATCCTCGATACACTCATATAAATACACGTTCATTAAAATACCTACACTCTTTTGCGTGTGGTTGGCGGGTGCTCTGGTGTGGTCTGCAACTTCTGTCCTGTCGTCATTGTCTCTCTTCCTTTTTTTTTTTGTTTACTACTCTCAAATAACACCTCTGATCTGCGTCACATGACATAGAGAATCTAACTGTGTTGCAAGCACTGTAAAACTTTTAGCGGGAGATTTCGTGGCCTAGAGGCTAATGTGTTCGCCTCTCAAAGGCCCCCCAAAGTCTGGTAATTACCATGGCTGTAGAGTGCTTGAAAACTGTAAAATTGGATTTTTGTGTCTTTATCAACGATTTTCAGAAAAATCCTCATCGAAATGTGTTTTTGAATGGACCTTTTAGGACGTTGCTCTAAAAAACAAAACAAAACAAAACAAAAATATTTAAAAAATGATAAACATTGCTTAACGGGCAGAAAAGTGTCATTTTCTTCGCTTTCGTTTTTTTTTGACGAGCGCCTGAATTCACTACAATGACTCACATATTTTTCTCTCTCTACCCCACCCCCTTCCCGACCAACCTCC